ATATTATAAATACAAATTGCATAACATGAATAACAGAAGAGATTCAATCAAAGTTGTTCAATCATTTTGTGGTTTATATAAATCTCATTCATAAATTGTTGCTCGTGATGGTTGACTTTCAGCCGTCCTTTTAACGATTTTATTACAAATACATAAATCTTACTACGTCTTTTATTAACTGCAGGTCTATAGCAAATTCGGAATACATTAAGCAGAAGTTTATGGCTTTGCGGATTCCGCTCTCTCTTTCCGCGACCTTGCAAACTAGATTATTGATTTAAAACTATTGTCATATGGGGACGCTTCTGGTTGCTCAACAAGTCTTTATTGTTATAGTTATAGTCAATATAGCTTGAGACTATTAATAGTTTCTGCAAGTATGCTAATCTGCGGTCGAGAGTCCGGTAAAAAAAAGTCCCGAACTCGTAGGGTTAACGAATCGGATTTCACACTCGCTTCAAGCAAACAAATAAAAAAGAGTAAAAGGAAAATGACTAAGAACGCTGCAATCGGTTGTAGCCGACTGCATAGCACTCGTTCCTGATCCAAAAAGAACCCAAGGGGATCATCAGATCAACCTTCAAAATTTAAGAGCTCATTGCGCTCTAAGTGAGCTTTACTAAACACACAAGTCTATATTCACTTTAATTCTTTAGTGCTGCATAACTAGTATACTCTATTCGCTTCACGAGCGAGTATCAAAACTTGCAAAATGTCGGCAGGTAAACAGTTTTAAATTAAGAAAGTTGTTCCCATCGTCCAGCACTTCTTTGTTTCCATGGGCGCAAACCTGTTCAGCTTACGGCCACAAATCACAGGGACTGTTCAGTTTTACTTCCTGTAACCCTGGAATGGTTTGAAGGGCACCCAATCGCGAGTTCATCGCTGCCTTCACTTTTTTTTCACAATTTACATTCATATTCACGCTCCACACAGACAAGCCTTATCGGATATCTGGTTGTTGTATATAGGAATTGAGTCGCCTCATCGATCCCAGTAATTGCCAAGCTCCAAGCTCAATCACTTCTCAAACACAAATCACTCTCGCATCGTGATTTCTATGAACTTCAAATTAGTCAGCTGACAATTTCACTTTCAGACGTGAGAGTGAAATTGGAGCTGGCCTTAGTGTGCCACCTCGGTAAAATGAATCGTCTCTTATACAATCGAGCGGCGAGCTAATAGCCAAAGTAAACAAAAGACCGTGCTCAGCTTGGCCTCAAATATTCCGTCATCATTCACACCATATACCCTGCACATTTAGAATCAAGTTAAATGGAACTTGTATATCTGCTGTGTTTGTTATCAGTAAGAAGTTCGTTGAGTGCAATGGATTTCACATTTCTGTTGCGAATTTCTGACTCTAACAATTCGGGGTCTTAAGATGATATCGCCTTTCGTGTGTCACGGGTATTTTTTAGTCGAACATATTGCAAAGTTTTTTTTGGGGCGTTTTGCTTTGTGGTCACAATTTTCAAAGATGACGAGATCAAAGGCAGATATATCTGATCTGTTGGCAACAAGGGAGCGGCTAGAGATATTTACAAAAAATATCAAATGCCGAAATGTCTACCAAAAGCATGCATAAAAGTATCGTATATTAGCATATTAAGTAGTTATACCTATCGAAGACGTTTCACAATATTAAGCATACGCGGCGTTGGACAAACACAAAAACCAGTTCTTAACTTAGACTTGGACGCATTCAAACGCAGGCCCTGGCTTGATGGGAGATTTTTTAATTACACTCAAGAAAAAACTGAAATGAATGAATGAAAAAGAATCTCCTACCGATTATCATATAATATACATTATTTTACATACTATTGACAGATGGATTGATTAATCTACATGTCAAGAAACGAGAGATTCAAATGGCTTGCTTGTTAGTTACTACTATCAGTTTCTTTACAAATACTGTACTGTATCTGTATCTATATCTGTATCTGTATCTGTATCTGTATCTGTATCTGTATCTG